CCCCTTCTTCTCTCCCCCCCCATCATCTGTTTACTTATTTTTATTGTTTATTGTCTACCTGTTCCAAAAAGCATGGAAGCTTTATGAGTCAAAAAATGCATCTGTTTCATTCACCTCTGGAACCCTAACTTCAAGAACACTTCCTAGCACAGAATATACTTTTAAAAGGAATGAATGCATTCAAACCACACCAGCATACAGTTATCAGGTGATTTAAAAGTTCAAATGTGGGAGGCCTGAGTAGCTCAATCGGTTAGGTGTCTGACTTCGGCTCAGGTCATGATCTAACAGTTCATGGGTTCAAGCCCCACATTAGGCTCTGTGCTGACAGCCTGGAGCCCCCTTCAAATTCTGTGTCTCCCTCTCTCTCTGTTCCTCTCCTGCTCATGTTCTCTCTCTCTCAAAAATAAAATCATAAAAAGATTTTTTAAAAAGTTCAAATGTATTATAACATGACAGTTACTTAAAACCATAGTTCTAAGATTCACAAAAGACTTTTTTCTTTACCTCAAAATACAAGATAGAGCTTAGTTTACTTCAGACAAGGTAATCTGCTTCCTTTTCAAGCTGACACAGAACCTGTTTTTAAATGAATGTTAGTCTTCTGATTCAAATAAACAGCTTTCGTGAAAGTATAGCATTATGAAAATGAAAAAATTCAACTGCCCCAATTTTAAGTGGGACACAAACTCATGAAATCAGTATATTAGTGCTTCTCAAACATTACTAATAACCACTGATTGTTAATTCTTTAAGAATATGGGAGAGAGCATCTGGTAGGAGAAGGAAGCTATAGAAAGTCAAATTTCTTATAGAAAAGGAAAAGATGGTGGTAAGTCATCAGTTTGTTAATTATCTAAACAGCAAACTAATGCTCTTTGAAACAGACTCCAAAGGTAAGCATTGCAGTGACTACACCAGTTCCCATCAGGAACACCTGGCTGAAGGCAAGCCGTCATCACTGAACCACAGGGAAAGTCATGGCAGCTACTCAAACCACAGTGACTAATGACAGCCAAGGACATGACCACCTCCTCACAACATGCCTTTGTTCTCAGGCTTTCACAGACGTGATCCCACGTGGAGCTCTCCCAACATCGCAGTGTTTCAATGGTCCCTAAACATGTGCTAAAGACAAGTATTATAACCTCAGAAAATATGAGCCTTGCTTAGCCACTGCACCTTCTCCAAGGAGAGAAGCAGGACCACCCAGTGCTCAGTGTGAATTCGAGGGCTTCCTGGCTGAGCTGTGAAAAAGAAAAGGAGGTGCTATAGTACTTTTCTGTTACTGTGCATAAGAAATAGCTATTAACGCTATGGAAAGCTTTATGTAAGCCTTCGGAAGGAAATCTTCAAAACTATGAAAAAATCATCTCAGCTGAATTTAGTTGACTCATTCCTATATCACATATGTGTAAGAAAAGGATGAAGGGTTGTTCAGTCACAAAATTATTCTTTCTGGGTTTCATTTTAAGGCAGTCAGGGCTTTAGGAATTTCAGACTTATGCATTATTTTAATGGTTTCATCCTCTTACTCTCTGACAAAATATTTAGAGCCAGGTCTATTTCTGCAAACAAACAAGCAAGAAAAAGAAAAAAAAAATACAGTACTTCAAAAATAGAAATCAAGACCAGCAAGTATTTTGGAAGACGAAAGGTAACAGGTGGTGCTTAAAAATGATTATAATACACTTTGGAAATTAACCTTAGGCCAAGTTCTACCAGTAGACCTATGGACAGGTTCTCAGATAAGCTAGCTAAATAATGAGCCCCACAGAAGTGATAACCGGATAAGAAGTTACAAGGTTATGCAGAGCAGTGTCTCCCTGAGAACCTGCAAGGTATTTCTACCTCTACTGCATCCACTGTTGTCTATGCACTGCAATTTCACTGAAGGTTGATCATGCAGTTGTGAGACGTGACTGCCTTACTGGTCAACCTGAAAAAAAGTCAAGCCCTTTTAAGGTCATCGTACCACTTAGCAAAGTACTTCCACCACAGTTAAAGCTAAGAGGTAAAATGAGAAAGATTGAAACAGAAATAGAATAAATTAATTGTAAGTTTTTTTAAAAACAGAAAAGGAATAAGGGGAGATAGAAAAACAAATCAATCTAAGGTAAATGATGAAGGTAACTGGATAATGAAGAAAAAAAATCCTCCATAGCAACAAAACAGAAGAGATTATTTATATAGATTTACAAGGAGATGAGCTCCAGATGTGAGGTTTTTTTTTTTTCTTTTTTGATCTACTTCTCCCCAGGTGCTTTTCTGCTTAATAAATATAACATCCAAGTTGGAATATTGTTGAGGCACTGAATCACCTAAATGTTGGCTATGCTCTTCTGCTGTTAACTATTTTGAGCTATTTCTCAATAAGGCAGCCGCTACTGAAATCCTAAGTACATAGTCTTGGCAGAACCAGAGAGAAAAAGTGCAGTCCACAGATTTGTTTCTTCTGTTTTCCCAAAACAGAATCTCATAAAAAATATGCCCTCAAATTTTGTCACTATGTGGCTGTCAAAGAAATTCTGCTCCTCTTCATAACTCTGAACATTAAACCCATAGCTCTCGTGCTACTGGGAAGTTATATAGCTCCAAGAAGTCAAGAGGCACCACAGCAACTGTTCGAATTATAGCCAGGCAGAATAATCAGTCAATCAGAAACTTCAGTTCCAGTCAGATGGAAGTTTTTTGGGACAACTTGGAAAAGCATACAGAGCAAGTTTGACTTTACTGCCAAGATCATTTCCAGGACATTGGCTAATTAATTATAAAAGCTTTTTCAAAACAAATTTGAGCCTGGCAATCTTTTTTTCCTACCCAAACAGAGAGGGGAAAAAAGGTTAAAAAATAAAAGCCCGAGTTTATTGTGTTTTTTTGGCCGTAGCTGCATCTTCTTTACAAACTCATTTTCTTCTTCTCATCCTGAAATGATCCAGAAGCTTTTGTATTTGATGTTACTAAAATAATAAGTACAGAAACTGAAAATAGTCATTGAATTCCTACTCTGCCTTGGGTTGTAGAAGAGATCATGGGTCAGTTACAAAAGTTCTCTTTAAACTCTTTGGTGGGAAGCAAAGAATGGAGTTTCTTCCTCTTTGTGGGATAAAAAGCTCATTGGATTAGCTATGGTTACTGTAATAGACATAACGTAGATGGACAGTTGCTCTTAAAATGACATACTGATCAACCCTCACTTTCTGGCTTGAAAACAAAGGAACAAAAGTCCTGAATTAAATCTTCCTGGTTTCATCTTAGTAAGTATGTACCACAATGAATATGAGATGCTCATGATAAGCATCAAAGATTCTGGTTTTAAGGACCACAACCACACAGGTTTTACAGCAAAATCAACGCCCCTAAATCATTATGCTCCAACATATTTCATCTAACACTGGCATCAAAAGCTTATGTAATATGCATCTTAAGCCATCAAATTTCCTCTGCATATGCCCAGATCTGAAGACACTCAGGGAGGGTAAGAAATTTCTCTTAGCCAGGATTTACCAGCTGCTTATTGGCAAATTCCTGGCAAGACAAGACTGTCCGTAATAAAAGCTTTTTCCAAAAAACTTCTGCCAAGCAGATATTCCTAACTCTGCCTTACGCAAGTATCAAGACCCCTGGCAAACCACAGAAACAGAAACTTACTGGTAAATATTGAATGGAGCCAGAATGTGCCCAATAGCATTGAGGGCAACTCTAGATAAGTCCTAGTGGGCTGAGCTTTTCTGCTACTGGTATGTAGCTCCCAAGGTATCCAATATTTAAATGACCTTCTGCTCACTTCAAGGGGCAGGCAAATGCAAGGGAGGAGATTGATCTACATTAGCTTATGAAGAAAGCAGTACTAGGAGTCAAGAATCAATCTCCATGTAACAGGGAGGTAATTAAACCTGAGGGAAGCAGAAAGTTCCTCTTCTGAGGAACACAAATTAAAGTCAGAAGGACATTACTAGATTCTGAAGAATCTTGAAAGTCAGGAAGGGAATTCTGAACTTAACTGATGGGAAGCCATTATAAGCTTTTGATCCAGGAGAGAAATACAAGGGCAATAAATAATATGAAAGGTAGATTATTGACATGGGAGAAAAGAGACAAGGGATTAGTTCCACAGCTTTTCTAGCAATCCAGTCTGAGATGATGAAGGCCCTAATAGGGTGCTGCTGAGGAAGGGAAGGAGAGAAGAATCCAAAAGCCACTTCACAAGAAAGAGTACAAATTTACGTTTCCTGTATGTTTTTTGAATTCACTAAAGCCTATAAACCTTTGCTACTGTAAGTGCAGCCAGTGAAAAGGCATATTGTCATAAATAAGGCTCCCCTCACCTTAGAATGTATAATTCAGATTTATTTGTTCAGGTGGAAATTTCACCCAGTTAGTCCAAAGTAACTGGTTTTGTTTTTTAGTGTAAAGTACAAAATTATACCTACTCACCATTCTCTATGTCCAGATACCCACCCAATGGGGAAAAATGGCCCAGATCCTATCATATTCTTTTTCAAAAAAAGCAAATCAAGATCAAAACCGAATAGCTCTTTACGTCAAATAGGCTATGTTTTCATAGACAACGTACATACAGCTAACAAGGCTATCATTACCTTTGCCTGAAGTATCTCCCTAAAGTTAACCATGGCCAGCATTTCTTAGACCTTTAGAGTTTATCAGTGTACTTTCTCCTAAATTGTATCTTTTAATCCTCACAATAACCCTGCGGTAGGGATTATTATTACTATTTTAAAGCTCCAAGACTTAAATTGCCCAAGAGAATACATGTGTAAGGGCTGGAATCAAGACTAATTCTTATCTTCGAATTTCAAATCCCTCCACATACTGCTTCCCCTTTCCTCAGAGGAAGTGCAAAACAAAAACAAACAAAAAATTCCCATCCACACATATCAGTTCATTTTAAGTTGGGAACCATCATTTCTAATCTCATTCCAGCATCTTCTACATACACATTTAATCTTACATTTCAGGAGTAAGATGTCTTTGCTTACCTGGTCCTTCTCTGGTTTATCAGAAATGTCATTCAGACTGGAGGAAGTCAGATTCCTATGGGTCATGGCTGGGCTACCTGAAAAAAACAAAAGTAAACCCTAATTAAAGACTTCTTTTCAAAACCGCAGGGACTTTGGTTTCATACTTCATAAACACTTGTAGATGATGATGGGAATGGCAATGATGCTTTAGCTCCCCTGGGATTACCCTGAAGAGTTTTCCAGAGACCAGGTTGGAACACAAAGACAGTTAAAAGAAAAGTATATAAAATCCCAAATGCCATTTTTAGATCTTACTGCCTCGCTAGAGTCTAGTTCAAGAGGAGTTATACTTTGAAAGAAACATCTAAAACGGTAAGCATAAAAAAAATGTACTCCTGATTTGGTTTGCCTTCTGTCACTGCCCCTTACACACAGCCTAATCCACCTGGTACCCTCTCCTTTTCCCACCCCCACCCCCCGACAGAGATGGCCTCTGTCCTCACGTCAGCAGAGCCGGCCCCGGATTACAGGACTGGACCTCCTTTCCCCAGGAATCTGCAGTCTTTCCTAGGCTACTGCTCACTCTGATCAATCAGAAAACCCATCTGTGGTCCCTTCTCCAGCTAACACTTTAACCAAGATTTCTCCTTAATGGGTATCTGATCCAGAATCCCCATTCTTCATCTCAAAGTAGTGCTGTCGTAGTCTCCTTACTTCTTGCATTCCGATTTGCCAGACTAATATAAGCATATTCTCCTTTCCTCTTAACATGCCAATCTTCTTATTCACATTAAGGAATGGGTTTCATTGGGAACACTTCATGGGAACCAAGCTCCCTGGCAATACAGTGGCTGTAGGTCAAATCTATGGGCAACCTGGCCAATGACTTCAGACACCATCATACAAGAAAAGAGAGGAGGGAAATTGAGGAGAGTGATAGCCCATCTTTAAGTAGACTATGTTAGCCAAAAGAATAACATTCTGTTCATTCTGCAGTTGGACCTGCAGTTGGACTTGAAATTTCTAGGCTTACTAAGCAAAAGAGTAACTTTTCAAAGCCACGGCGTTTGACCCAACCCCTGCAGGGTGCTGAGTAATGCATTCATCATTAATCCTCAATGATCTGACTCAGGCTGGTCTTCACACCAAAAGGACAAGGGTTGAAAAACAAGCCCCAAAGCTTGAATTCAGCTTCACAACCACTTCCAAATTGTTTTTTAGATTACAGATTTGAATTCCTTCAGAGAGACACTTCATAATTTTATAACAGACTAAAATCTACTTCTAATAATTTGATGTCTAAATAGAAGCAGGTCTAAGTGATATAATTGTCTTTAACTACTAAATGAGAAAAATCATAATTTTCTTGACCTGGCAAGACAGGGTGTTTTCCACTCTGCTGCATTTCATTGAGTAAGCATGGCCTAGATCTCTTAAACCCTTTACCTGGTGGGACATTTTATTCTAGGAAAATTTGAGCACAGGGCATTTTTCAAAGGAAAGTAACATCTGAAAAACTGCTTTATGAGCAAAATTAAAAGAACCTTTTTAAAGGCCACATTTTCTTCTTTGAACTGTACACCAGGTTTCCAATGTGCACTCAAAAAAAAGATACCAGGTAGAAACGTGAATACTCCCAAATAATGATGGGTTTGCAAGTAATATGGAATGAGAAGTAGCTATAATTTTGACTTTACATTTAAAGCAAAAGCAGTTTTTTGGACTAACTGGTTGGAAATTCTACCTGAATAAGTGAAGAAATCTGAACAATATATTCCTAAAGCAAGGAAACCTTAGCAATCCTAATCATAAATTAAAAATAGCTTATGTAAATAAAGAGATGAGATTGATTTTTTTTTAATATTTGTTTATTTATTCTGAGAGAGAAAGGCACTCCAGCTAGAGAGAGGAGGAGCAGAGAGAGAGAGGGAGAGAGAGACTCACAACCAGGCTTCCAGCGGTCAGCGCAGAACCATGAGATCACTACCTGAGCCAAAATCAAGAGTTGGATGCTTGATTGAGCCACCCAGACACCGCAAGACCAATTTCTAATTATCCAACCAACAGATGTAAGTGTCAGTACTGAAATAAATTTTTTAATGTTTTGTTTATTTTTGATAGAGAGAGAAAGACAGAATGCAAGTGGGGCAGGAGCAGAGAAAGATAGAGGGAGACCCAGAATCTGAAGCAGGCTCCAGGCTTTGAGCTGTCAGCACAGAGCCTGATGTGGGGATCCAAACCCATGAACTGTGAGATCATGACCTGAGCCAAAGTTGGACACCCAACAAACTGAGCCACCCAGGCACAGTGCAGTACTGAAATGATTTGAAAGAAGTTCATTAAGTAATTTAAATGGTCTAGAAAGTATCCTAAATTCATTGATTTGCTTTGGAAACTATAAATACTGCAAAGGTACATTTTAACCCAAGCACTGTCTTAACTTTTGCAAAATCTAAATAGGTAGAAGCCAAATGAATAAAGTTTTTATTACAATGATAATCTTTACTGATGTCACAACTTTTCCAAGAAACCCCATATACTGTCTCATCATTTCTCTCATGATAGTATGGCTATATTTGTATTAGATGGGGTGGGGGGGGGGGAGCTGGGATCCAAGTAAGATGCAGGAACCAGATGGGGAAAAATAGGTCAATGCTGAGAAACAATCAAATCTACTGTTCTTCCTACCTGTATCTGATTCTCATTAATAAAGGTAATATTAATAGTTTCTCTGATGTGTAACTTTGTAATACAGTCGAAGAAGCCAGAAGTCAACGTTTCTAGGTAAATCCTGAGCAAGATGATAAATATACTTCAATGTTTTCCCACCTCCTCCCTAGTAAACTCCCCACCCTTACACCCAAACACCTTGAAATCCAAACAAATGCTTCCCAATGCAGTGGTCCCCAAAGTGTGGTGCCCACACCAACAACATTAGCATCACCTCAGCACTTGTTAGAAATGCAACTTCTTGGGACTTACCCTAAACCAACCAACTACAGTAGTCCCCCTTACTGTGCTGTTTCAGTTACCTCTAGTCAACTGTAGTCCCAAAGCAGGTGATCCTCCTGATGAACCATCAGAAGATCAGTAGTAGCCTAACACTACATCACAGTGCCTACGTCATTCACCCCACTTCTCATCAGGTAGGCATTTTATCTTCTCACAGAAGTGTGAGTACAGTACCACAAGATATTTTGAGAGAGAGAGAGAGAGAGAGAGACCACATTCACATGGCTTTTATTATAGTATGTTGTTATAATTGTTTGTTTTATTATTGGTTGTTGTTGTTAATCTCTTAACTGTCCTTAATTTATAAATTAAACTTTATCATAAGTCTGTGTGTATAGGAAAAAGCATACTATATATAGAGTTTAGGCATCCACTGGGAATCTTGGAACATATGTCCTGCATAAGAGGGACTACTGTATAATCAAAACTCTGGGTATGGAGCCCAGTAATGCAGTTTTAATCTTTAAAGTAATTTTGAAGCATGCTACAGTTTGAGAACCACTGCTCTAAATAAACCAGTTATCTTAACAGAAGGGTGTGTCTTGGGATCTGAATGAAAAGAAGTGAAGTGTATGTAAATTGAGGTAGGCAGAGGGGTAGTCCTGATAACCTTGACCTCCTCCGAGACACCACTCTAAACTACTGTATCTCAAGCAAATCATTCAGTTAGCAACCTTGCCTCAGAAACACAAAGAGAGTGTCTTACTTGGCTTTTCCTGGAAATCCTCACCGACACAATCAAATAAATAAATAACTTTGTTTGGGAACCTCATCGTTTAATCAGCCTTTTCCAGAAACATACCACCCAAATCAGAGAAGACAAGGACAAAAGCCAAAAGAGATTACAATCTCGATTATATCTAGAATCAGAAATTTGTGCACAGTATTTTAGGAAACCTGGGAAGCTGTTATGCAGCTGATCCCTAACAACTTCTATTGGTGATATTTTGCACCTGACATTCACTAAGCCATAATATCAAGATAAATCAGTGCTTTCTATTTACAGTTTGGGCCTATAATGTAAACTCATTATATTGCAATCCTAAGTGAGTGGGGGTAGTAGAAGAAAATGTTAGCTTATACCAAAAAGGTGAAATGCAAGAGTACCCTGAGGTATGCTACTTCTTGCACAGGCTGGGGACTCATTCACTCAAGGGTAACCACTACTCAGCCATTTCCATCAAAATCCAGGGCATACAGAAGAGGCTGCATGGCTCAATCATTAAGCATCTGACTTTGGCTAAGGCCATGATCTCACGGTCCATAGTTTCCTGCCCCAGTTTGGGCTCTGTACCGACAGCTCAGAGCCTGGAGCCTTCTTCGGATTCTGTGTCTTCCTCTCTCTCTCTCTGCCACTCCCCACCCTGCACTCTGTCTCTGTCTCTCTAAAATAAATAAAGATTAAAAAAAAATTTAAACAAACAAACAAAAAAAAAAATTCCAGGGCATACAAATGTCATATAAGTGCTCTTGGTTCAAAGAAACTTTTTTTTTTTAAGCTTGATTTCTACAAAAGAAGAATCAATCTCGGGTGCATAATCACAATTAATTTCCATATCACTGTTTTCTGGCCATAAGAAAAAGAAAAGTTTGGTGACTCACATTTTTAGGCAGTTTCACACAATTAAAGACAATTTCATTTTGAAAGTACACACTTGGCAGGTACATACTGTCTTCTATAAAAATTAACTGCATTCTGTACTAAGTTTGAAAATCATTGTTATTCTTTAGCACATATGTAGCAATGCATAAAGTCCTTTGCAATAATATCTATTAGATAGATACAATAAAAAGGGGTGAGAAGAACTTAACGCATAGAAGAAAGATATTTAAATGTGTACATATTAGATAAAAATGTAAATACATATGTAATACAATTAACACATCAATCCCCTCACCTCATATCTTTACAATGAAGCAACAGAGAACCTCCGAACAAGCTAAAACAAAGATAACCTGGGGTATGAAATAAGATGTATTTTTTTTTCTTAATAATAATTAAATACTGATTTTAGCATGAAAAATAACTAAGGTAACATACATAAAACGGACATCGAGGAATCTGGTGTCCATGTCAGAAAAA